ACAAGGGTAGGCACCTAACAGCGGTGAAGCAGGCCGGGTTAGGCGGCGTACTGCGGCAGAATAGTGGGTCCAACGGAGCCGGATCTCGGTAACTGCTCCGGCGAAGCCGGAGATATCAATCCGGGCTCTAGCCCGTGACAGGGACCAAGAACATACGTGTTCTAGCCAAAATGCTAGCATGAGGAATAAATCTGTTTTTTCACGTTTTATGAGTATTCGGATTGGGTAATGGAAGCATAGTTTTGTTCGAAATTGATTGTGATTGAGCCTACCCCTCATCGTATCTAGGGAGACTACTCCGTTTAGGATTGGATTGTATTATAAAATACTCGCATCTGTTATCATATACTTTGATTCCAATCTGCTACAACGCGCTCGAGAAAAAAGCAAACCAAAACCCAACAACCTGCTTTTCTATCCCCTTCTTCGTTTTACAATAGGTAGATCCTTTTCAACATGTCCAACCGAGCTACCCCTCCTCCCCGCGGCGTGCTCGTGCCTGCCCCCACATTCTTCAAATCCGGGGGTGAGCTTGACCTTGAGACTCAGTGTGCCCACGCCGTCTACCTGGCCAAATCTGGTATTAAGGGAACTGTTGTACTGGGTAGCACCGGAGAGGGCGTTCACGTTCACCGCCGTGAACGTATCGAGATCATCCGGGCAGTTCGAGAGCGTCTCAACGATGAAGGCTTCAACGACTTCCTTGTCATCGCTGGTACCTGCGAGCATAACATCGAAGAGACAGTCGAGCAGCTTCATGACGCCAAGAAGGCCGGCGCTGCTTACGGTCAGTCGCTTGTGCCGGGATACAACGCTGCGGACACCACTGACGACGGTCTCGTGAGCTGGTACACTGCCGTCGCCGATAAAAGCCCTATTCCTATTATGATGTACATATTGAACCCGGAATATTCCGACTGTCAAGTGTTCGGCTAACAGGGGTTTCATAGCTACAATTTTCCCGGAGTTGCCAACGGCCTTCGGATCAAGGCGGACGGCCTGTCCAGGCTCGCCCAACACCCCAACATCGTCGGCGCCAAGCTCTCCCACGGCGACGTTTCTCTCATCACCCAGGTTACATGGAACCCCCAGGTCAATCAGGAGCAATTCCATCTCTACACTGGCCTCGCTCAGATCCTTACACCTTTTGTCTTCCTTGGTGGTGCTGGTGCTGTTGATGGAACCGCTGGCTACTTCCCCAAAACCCTTGTCAGACTCTTCACGCTGGCTAGCCAGGTTCACCTGAGCGATTCCGAGGTAGCCGAGCGGAAGAAGATCCAGTACCGCTTCAGCTGCATGGCTGAGTTCGTTGTCAAGCACGGTGTTCCCGGTATTAAGGAGGCCACCAGCCGCCTTCGTGGTCTTGGCCAGATCGGTGGAACTCGACTTCCTCTTCTCGGCGGAATCATCGGCGGAGATGCAGAGTGGGCCAAGTGGGAGGAAATTTTCAGTGCTGTTGAGGAGATTGAAAAGTCTCTTTAGATACACTAGATACATAATTTTGAGGAATACAAGTTACTTATAACCCTCGCTTTCTCTTCTCATTCCCATATTCAACTCTCATTGCAGAAAATATTAAGGAGATTCAGCTATATTTCATAAACTCCATGTCATCAGCTCATTCACAAGACGCGCTATGAAACAAAATGTCTCGCCACCTCACTCTTCGGCCCGGTAGTCGTTATGTCAACAAAGCAGAGGTCTGGTCCATGGCCCGCCCACTGCCGTCTTTGTGGTGGTAGTACGATATCGCCTCACAAGAACACGGTCTAGACGGCACAGGGCCTACAGCATTATGGGACCGGAGTAAATAGGGACATCGCGGACTATGCGGAGTAGATTCCGGCGTAGACTACATAAGCGGGTCCGGCGCAGAATAAATAAGCGGGACTGGTCTAGCTGCTATCAGATCTACTCCGTGGTACTCTACTGAGTAACCTGGTGCTAGAATGACAATATCCTGACTAGTACAAAGAAGGCTGACGCTTCTTAAGAGGTTGAGATTGGCAACGGCAAATTAGTCAGCGGACAAATGGTGTGGAAATGGGGTGGGGGTTGCGTCCCAGCATGTCTGCATGGCGACGTGTGATCTGAACACATGGAGTTGGAACGCGGGGGATTAGATGCGGGGGACAGAGTCTAGGGTCTTGGGCCTAGGGCATAAGGTTAAGGGGATAAGAAGGGAAAATAGCGAGAAACAGCTGGTGTAACTTAAAGATAAATAGGTGAGCCTCCTTATCGTACCTAAGTCGCAAACTTTGGTGCATGCCTGTTTTACAAAACATAACTGACAAGGTGTTGATCTTCCCCTCAAACATTATCCAACTTCTCAACTTCAGTTCCATATATAAATCATGGTTGACTGGTACACTGTGGGAGTCGCCTTGATTGCGGCAATGGGCACTTTATTGTTCGGATTTGACACTGGCATAGCCACAACAACTATTGCCCATGGTAGGTGGAAAGAGTACATGAACCATCCTTCTGATGCTATGACCGGGGCGGTTGTTGCGCTTTATGTGAGCCTCATGTGCATATTATTCTTCACTATGCTAATGTCAGATTTAGATCATAGGGGAGACCTTGGGTGCCATTACTCAGAGTCTTCTTGGCGACAAAATCGGTCGGATCCATTTCACGCAGATGATGTGTATCATCGTGACTATCGGAAGTACCATACAGACAGCCGCAATTAACATTAGCATGTTCCTGGCCGGACGAGCTATTGCTGGTATTGCAGTTGGAGGAATGGTCGGAACTGTTCCGATGTACCTGTCCGAAATCAGCCGACCGGAACAGAGAGGACTCATAGGAGGTATCGCAGGAGCAGGCATATCATTCGGGGCTATGCTGGCCAACTGGGTCGGATACGCAGGTTCCTACGCTCCCGATGGCGCTATCCAGTGGCGCCTCCCGCTCGCCCTACAAATCCCTTGGGGGCTTATAATGCTTCTTGGCCTTGTCACCTTTATGCCAGACTCTCCACGGCAACTCATTCGTGCTGGCAAGATCGAGGCTGCTCGAAGGGCGCTCTCCAAGATGCGGAGCGACACCTCGCCTGACGAATTTGTAGCCGAGTTTGACCAGATGCAAGCTCAGATCGAGTTTGAGATGGCACGCGAGATTGCTTCCTTTGGGGAAGCTTTACATTTGTATCACCACCGTTGTCTCGTCACTCTAGCGGTACAGGTCATGACAAGCTTAACCGGAGTGAACGTGGTTCAGTATTACCAAACGATCGTGTACAAGTCACTAGGTATGGAACCCAGGACTATCCTCGCGCTGGCTGGCGTGTATAGCACTGTCGCATTTGTTGTCAACTATATCGCCCTCGTATTCTTCATGCATCGATGGGGAAGACGCAAGATGATCATCGGTGGCCTTGCCAGCATCGTGCTTGTCCTGATCTACACTGCTGTCATGCAACGGCAGTTCCAGGAGACGGATAATCGCGTCGGAAAAGGTTTCACGATCCTTGGCATCTACATGTTCGTCACGGCTTATTATGGTCTCATCAACAGCGCTACATGGCTCTACAGTGCTGAGGTATTGCCCCTAGCGCTGAGGGCCAGGGTTATGGGTCTTGCATGCGCTTGTCATTTCATTGTCAACATTGGAGTCACGCAGGCTGGTCCGAGTGCCTTTTCCACAATCCACGAGAACTACTACTATGTATTTGTGGGATGTACGGCATTCTTCACAGTCATAGCCTATTTCTCCTTCGAGGAAACTCGACACAAGACTCTAGAGGAGATCTCTCAGGCTTTTGGTGACGAGGTCACATCGAGCGAGGATATGTATGTTGCGCGAGCTAAACTAGACGTTGAGGAGAAAAGCCAGCAAATTGAGCATCGTGCTTGATTAAATAGCACAGAGACAATTTGTGTTGCGAGCAGTTCTATCAAAGACAGTCATCATGGATAGGCAGAATACTATGAAACTGGTCTATTGATAAGTATTAAGGTCTCACCAAACCTCAGTGAGTATGGTTTATATCTGAGTAGTGAAGTTTGAGCATAATCCGATTCAACTTTCCAACACATCCTTAAGGATTTCTATCATCCAGTAGTATCCAATCCGCCGTATTAACACCCTCTTGACTGCCTCGTAGATCTAATTGCAGAGACGTGTCATACTGTCCCGGGAGTATTTGATCATAGGGGGCTCCAGCGGTTGAAATGTCTGCAACGCGTTCGGTCAGCCTATTGCAAAACACACTCGCCACCAACCTCACCTGGATCAAGGCAAAGAGCTTCTTCGAGCCATTTGTCGTCTTCCCAAACTCTTGCAGCCTCTTCCTCATTTGCCTTCTGGTGTGAGCCAGTCGTTTCCATTGGCATATCTTCCATACTACGAGACATCAATTGCATGTCAAACCTGGGACCTCCCGCCCTCGGGAGAACAATGCCGACTGCTTGGGCGGCCTTCTTGGCCTCCCTCGAGTGGGGGCCTTTTCTTATCCAGATTGCTCTAGAGTTTCCAAGAGCTTCCATGATCTCCTCATCCTGCCCAAAAATTCTTTGCCGGTGCACCACCGAGCATAGGACCATGGTGGCTGTCAGGAAATGATGGTTCATAAGCGATCCAACTCGCCAGTGCATGATGTGGAGTTGTCCTCCCGGGCGGGTCTCTTCGTCCAGGACCTGCTGAATACGCAACGTCTCCAGCGCCGCGTTGATGCAAGCCTTCCTGGAATAGGTGAATGTGCCAAGATCATGCCAGATGGATTCTGCGAACAGGAATCTTCTATGAAGCATGATCTGTCCCTTGTAATAGATGTGGCTCAAGAACAAGCGGGCCATGATCGTTTGTGGTGAGTCGGTGACGCTAGATGCCATTGATTTGGGCTGCAGGGGAGGTGGGATACTTGCTTTTGCATCGTTCAATATCTGATCGACCCTCATGTACTCAGCATATCCTGACGGCTTGAGGGACGAGGTCAGATCTGAGACGGCACCCAGAGCTATGAGAATTCGCCTCCTTGCGATGATACCCAAGGCAGTGGTGTGCTCCGTTTCCGGGCGAGGCGGAGGCAGCTCAGAGATGTCCCCTTCAATATCTGAATCATTCAGATTTCTTGGTTCTTCGGTGTCGAATTGATCGCTTGTGATCATACGCGGCATGCCCATCTGGCCTGAAATGAGACTATCGCCGAGAAGAACAGTCGCCCACACCCTTCGCCTCATTTCTCCTTCAAGTGGGGTGATGCCAGGGAAGTGCTTGGGATCGCGATGATAGCCCATGCGTTTTGCCAGGTTCACCTCAATCCCCAAGAGGAACCAGACATCCTTTTCGGCATCTTCGCGGATTCGAAATTCGATATAGACGTAGTTCATGAACGTCTCCAAGGCATGGCTGCCGCCATTGGTGTATTCGCCCATGATGAGACATTGAACTACCTTCTCCCTGTACACCTCAATATCTAGATCGTAATGAGTCATTTCCTTAGAAAGCCCCTGGCTGTTGGTGTCTAAAGCTATCAAGGCTAGGCAAATCATGCTATACAGCAGCCCAATCCACATGATTCTGGCATTGGAGGGATCGTCCCAGAAGGCTTCATACTGATTCGCTTGGTCAGTCGTAGCAAGAGGCAGATGCCAAGTAATGCGGATCACATACCTCTCGAAGAAACGTGGGACCATGGACAGAAGCTTTCCGCCTGAGGGTTAGCGACTAGATCATCGAAGAAGTAAGAGAACACTCACATGAAGCTACTAGGTCTAGATGGTTGAAGTATCGGGAGACATAACGATCGACAGTAGACTTGGGCGGTAAAGCAGATAGAATCTCTTCCCTACATCTTGCGGGTCTGCATCCGTAGAGCAAAAGCGCTCGTTGCGGAGGGAAGGATCCCGAGGCCGTATTACCACAAACGTCCTGGGTTGGCTCTGATGCAGGCTCCGGGCTTTCACCAAGCCTGAAGTGCTCCTCTCGATTGAAGTGGTCTCTGAGGTCCGCGATGCTATCCAGAATGGCACCCCAGTGGTCACCACTCACGTATGAGTGATCTGCAGCGCCAGTGCGGAGACTTCCAGTCTCAGAGCTGTCGTCTATGGGCGTGCCAACAGATGCCTGTGCCGATTCCGCCAATTGACTTGAGCTCTTCTCAGGCCCGAATGTCATCACCAAGCGCTCAAGGTGCGCAAGACGATCCTGTAGTGTTGCATCGTTTGGTGACACTGTTGATGATGATGCCATCGCAGAGTTCTCTGCGTAGACGCACGAATGACCTCGTGAAGAGCAGCTGGAACATGGCTTCTTGCGATCGCATCGCAATCTAATAGAGCGGTGTCAGTGACTTTTTAGATGAGTAAGGAAGTATCAACTTACTTCCGGCGACGACATAGGTTGCAAGAAAGCTGCGGCTTATCACGTCGGCGACTGGCAATGGGTCGCGGGCGATGGACGACCTGTTCATGATGCGTAATTATTGAGGGCCCATTTGCCACTGATACGGGTCTTGATTCAGGCATTTGTTTTTGGCCAGCAGCGGTCCGATGGCTACCTCATGTAAGCGTCGGGAGGAGAAAACAATCCTCAAAAAAGGCCAGGAAGCAATGGTTCAAGAGAAGCTATAACTATCGGTGCAGATGGGAAGTTGATGAATGTCAACGTATGGCGCGTGAATATAGCTGACTGACCTTGAATCCTCGAAAAGTAAGCACTAAACTCGGTGGGATCATTCGCCTTAGTGCGGCCGGAAAGGAGTTAATGTCCTGACCCTCCGATCGTCCGGCCGATGCTCCGGCCCCACACAGCCGGTAAAATCGCGACAGTGCACATCATCAAATGGCATGAAAGGACTAGACTGCACACGCTTTGCAATTGGATACCGATGAAGGCATATCACGTCGTATAAAATTGAAACTATTTTGAGGGCGCCCGGAATGAGTGATGTAAATTGAGTTGCCGCTTGTCCTTGCGGCAAGAAGTCAAGAAATACGATACAAAGAAACACTTCTAGATAGTGCAGCCGTGTCCAACAGCTAGCAAAGTCCCAAAAGTTCCATCATGTCTTCAGATGTAATATCCATACTTAAGCGTAAGCACGGAGAGCATCGGCAAGCTGGTTGTACTGCTCAGGGGTAAGGTTGCTGTAGGAGAGGCAGTCAGAACCGCAAGGGAGGGCGAAAGGCCCGGTGCCATCACCGACGAGGACGTTGGCCAAATTCATGCAGGTGGCGGGGACACCCGAGAACTGAATCTCTGCAGTGGTTCTTAGCAATGAAGAGCTCGATTTGATGAATCATTGGGTGACTTACCAGTGTCAGAGGGGGCGGTGGCGGTGATAGTCAGGCCAGAAATGTCGTCGCGGCAGCGCTGGTACTCGAACTCAGGGACACCCTCAACCTGGCGAGGACGAACAGTTGTGACAAAGCCATCGCGCTTGCCAAAGATGGTGGTGAAGAGCTCGGCGATGCCGCCACCAAAGAACTCGGCGGCCAGACCAATGCCGCGGCCAATGTCGGCCTGAGCGGGCTGAGCGACCATGAGAGCGACGGGGACGATGACAGCGGAGGCCTTCATTTTGATGGTTTGAGGAAAGATTGATGATTCAGAGCGAAAGGTTGTGTATGAGATTTGAGAGTTGAGTGTGAGAGCTGTGTGTGAAATGTTTGCGTTGATGCGGATGAGGACAGAAGAATTATTTCCATGGAGTGTGCAAACTGATTCTTATATACAATTTCTCTACCGAAAGGAACTTGTTCAACATGCCCGTGTTGGGTCGTCAACATGGACAGCTCCGGTTCACAAGTTGCATGCAGAAACACTGGCAAAGATCGGCGATGGATTATGGGCCTCACAACCATGAACGAAGTTCTCACGAGGCGAAGCCATTCAGGTGTTGCCTACAGCCTGCTCAGTCTCAAGTATACGCGTAAGCCAAGCTAAGAGGAATCAAATCCCAAAACTATTGGTGAGATAACTCAACACCAGGAAGGGTGCCATGAATCGTGCCATGCAACTAGCAAGGTCTTTCAGCATCGTGAATGCTCTGCAATCGAATTCGGTAGCAGCATGTGTCAATGTCTCCACAGTTCTTTGTAGACTAGATACCGTAGCGTAGGCTGTCACCTATCCTTCGCCAAGTCTACAAGACCAGGTTCGACGCCGAGAACCCGATATGAGTGATGACACTCAGAGAGCTCGAATGTGTGATCACAGCCCACCTGGCAAGATTCCTTCGTCTCTATCCACAATCCATATGTCACCGATACCAATCGGAACCAATTATTGCTATGGGGTGTGGGGGGGTTCTGAAGATGTAGCCTATGTCGAGACGTTATCATAAAAGTCCTGGGTTATTAATGTAAAGCCTTTGAATGTGACCCACACCAACTAAAAGACCAGGGCAACTGTATCAAAAATAATGAAGTAAATATGATTAGCGCTTTTTATCGTCTGATCTGCTGCCATTTCCATATTCATAAGTGGTTGTGTTTTCGTCTTCATACTTACTTAGCAGGTTTGAAATCCGCAACCAACGTAAATAATCCTTAGCAGCGCACTTAGTTCAGTGGTGTGAGTGCGTGTATCTCTTCAGTGCCATGTTTCATTTCAAGGGAAGCACCCATTGTCTTACACAACCAGCTGATGTGCCTCCAGGTATGATAGATTTGTGGGGTAATTTGCGCCAAGGATCTCGGGCCGCACAATGGGACAGCCGTCCTACGAGGCGAGGTTGCCCTGACCCACAAGAGACTTACCTGGCTGTCAGCCTCCTATCTCCTTCGGGAATACGAGGCCAGATTCAGTTCCTCACTTCATCCAAAACTGGTCATCTCTGATCCGATTATGCCGGGCCAAGACCACGTGTGGGAGCAATAGGTCCTCTAGGCAACCGTTTTGCACGTTTGAGGCAAAGTTAACGGGAATTTTGTACCTGACTTGAGGTTGGTAGGGCAATGTCACGGTCTATGGACCGGTGTTCGGCCTTCGGCAAGACCCTCAGCCACGACTCATTGGACCCACCAAATCCAATGGCGTATTTGCTAGAAGGTTCCAGGAATATCGACAAGGTCAATGGCAAGGTTATAAGAATGCC